CCTCAGCCCAGGGCAGGCAGAAGAGCGTTTTTCACCCAGGGCAAGCAGAGGAGCAGCCTTGATGCCCCTGAGAATGAAGGAGCGGCGCCCATGAGAACAGACAAGCAGCCGCCGCTGGAGGTGACCGCACGTAACTCCAGTTCTAGGGGACTTGACAGCCTCTTCTGTCCTCCGTAGGCATTGCATGACAAGGGTACACTTACCTACATGCAGGCAATACATACATACACATAAAAATAACAAAAAGTTTAAAAAAGTTTAAAAAAAATTAAAGTGAAGTTAAAAAAAATAAAGCAAAGGTTGGTAATATCATCAGAGGTCCTAGCCTCTAGGCCAATTTCCAACACTGTAAAACAATAAAAACTAAAACAAAACATCTTGAGATAAACAATAATGGGATCACAACATACCAAGACTAATGGAAGGTAATTAAAAACAGCCTAAGGCAGAAATTCATAGCAATAAAAGCCCTGTGATTTGAGGGTGTACTGCCCTACAAACTCATACATTTCAATACTTGGTCCCCAATTTTGAGGCTGTCAAATCAGTGGGAGAAATGGTTAGTGGATGGAGTCACTGGGATAGGCAGACCTTCAAGGGTTACAGACATGCCTTGTTTCAGGGGAGGTCTATTTTCTGGCTGTCAAGATGTTAAGAAGCCATGCTGCAAGCTCCCATTGCTATTCTTTCTCCATGGCTGAGGATGAGCCATTTAAGAGCACTGGCTGCTCTTGCAGAGGACTCCAGGTTTGGTTCTCAGCACCCACATGGCAGCTAACAACCACCTGCAATTCAGTTCCAGGAAATCTAATGCTCTCTTCTGGTCTTTGTGGGTACTGCATGTACAAGTGCACATTGATACAATCAGGCAAAACACTCATATAAAATTTAAAAAAAAATTTTAAAGACAAATGGCCAACATCATTGAATTTTGCATCAAAGCTACAATGTAATCTCATCTATTAGAATGGCTATAATAAAAAACAAAACAAAACAAAATGATAACAAGCTAGTAAGATGCAAAGAAAAAGACCCCTTATCACTGTTGTTGTGAACATAACTAAGCAGAGCCATACGGAAAACAGTGTAAAACTTATATGGAAAACAGTATAAAGCTTCAAAACAAACACTCTAACAATCTCATTAATGAGCATTAATTCTTAGGATATGAAGGTCTTATGTTAGATATTTATACTTTCATGTTTACTAGTATTATTCACAGCAGACAAGATAGAAAATCAATTTAAATGTTTACCAGCTGATAAGAAAATATGGAAAAGTTACACAGTAGAATACTGCTCAGCTATACAAAAAACAGTAAAATTCTGTCATTTGTGAAAACATACATGAAACTGGACATTATGATAAGTGAAATAAACCAGGCACAGAAGGAACTCAACTTCATATGTGAAATTTTAAAGAACTGAGCTCAACAGAAGTAAAAAGGGAGATGATGGTTGACAGACTTTTGGGTAGTTTACTGGAGTATGGGGAGGGGGCAATGAAGAGATATTAATCAAAGGATATAAAATTACAGTTAAATAACAGCAGCATTCTTATAAGTATCCAAAGACAAATACATACAGGAAGTAGGCAAATGACAGCCAGGGACAGGTAGGTGGGAGTACTGGGGGTAAGGAATGAATATTAGTGGTTACAGAGTTTCTGTTCATGTGAGGACAATGACCTAGTAACTGTTCTTGCTTTGGCAGAAGAACATATAATAACGCTGGAACAATAATGTTCTAATATTGTGCTGATGGGTACACATCTCTTATGGTCATACTGAGTACTACTGAATTGTGCGCTTTAATTGCATCTCAGTAAAGCTAATTTTAAAAAGTAGCAAATAAAGAAATTAATAACAAAACAGAAAACTAAAGCTTAAACTAATTTAAATTTCAATATTTAATTGTTCTTTGCTAGTTATAAAAATAAAATTAAGGCCAGGTAAGATGGTGCAAGCCTTTAATCCTAGCACTTAGGAGGCAGAGGCAGGCAGGTGGATCTCTGTGAGTTCCAGGCCAGCCTGGTCTACGTAGCCAGTTCCAGGCCAGCCAAAGCAACATAATGAGACCCTGTCTCAAAAAAACAAAAACAAAAACAAAAACAACCCCCTCATGCATAACAAGACAATTAACTTTATACATTGATCTATTATCTTGTGATCTGGGCAAATTCACTTAATTTTAGTAACTTCTTTTCGATAATTTTTAGTCAAGTCTAATTCTTTCCAACTTTAAGCCTCCTTTTTTCACATTTCTTTTTGGTTTATTGTATTGGCCAGTACATCTAATAAAATGCTCAATAAAAATAGTCAGAATGAGTATCTCTGCCTTGTCCTATTACAGCAGAAGTCACCATTAAATGAAATATTAAGTTTAATTGCATTGATGCCATTTATTAGTAGGGTAAATATATAAAACTCTTTAACAGTCCAGGTGTTGTGGCGCACATCTTTGATCCCAGCAATTGGGAGGCATCTGTAAGTTCAAGGCCAGCCTATCTACATAGTGAATTAAAAAAAAAAAAAGAACCACCCCTCCAAAAAAACCCCAAAACTCCAACAACAAAAAAACTCAACAAAGTATTTGCAAATAGAATGAGAAATATATTAAAAATGAAAAATACATCATGATATAGTTTATCTCAATATGAGTTTAACATTAAAAAAATTAATCAGTATAATCACCATATTAACAGAATAAAAGACAAAAACCAATAATCCCCACAGATGCAGACAAAAACATTCAGAGCAATTCACTAATAATAGCTACCCCAAACACAAAAGTAGCTAGCAATAAATTTAGCAATATATGGGCAAGATCTATACAATGAAATCTAAAAATATTCTGTGCTGGGTAACTCAGGATTGTAATCCTAGTACTTGGGAGATGGAGGCAGGAGGATCATGAGTTCAAGGACAGCCAGGATTAAATAGCAAGACCCAGTCTTAAAAACAAACAAACAAGCATGCAAGCAAACTGAAGGGCATCTGGAGAGATACTTGGTCCATGAATAGAAAGACTCAATATTGTTAAGAACTCAATTCTCCCAAAGTCAACATGACAGATAAAATGCAATCCAAGAGAAAATCCCAATTTGACTTTTAATTAAAATTCACAGGCTGATTCCAACATACAAAATACAAAGGATCCAGGTCCACAAAGAGTTTAGAAAAGATAAAAGTTGGAATACTCATTCAGACCAACTGATTTCAAGACTTTTAAGCTACAGTAATCAAAATTGTGTTGATAAAGGTAGGCAGACTGGGACAGGAGCATGCAGACGAGAACTCGAGGACTAAAAACAGACCACACTCACAATGATGTACAACAATAGTGACCAAATAACTGTAAATCAACTGGAATTCTCCTACAGTGCTACTGGAAATGTAAAAGTGGTACAACTATTTTGAAAAATAGTTTGGCATTTTCTAATGTAAATATAAATTTGTCATTTTGAGCAATTTCATTCCTAGACATTTCTTAAGAGAAATAAAAATATGCCTACATAAATATACTCAAATATTAATGCAGGCTAACATTAACAAAACAAAAAAATTTACACCAAAAGGTAAATAAACAATAGTGATACATTCATAAACTGGCATGCTACTCAGCAATAAAAACCAGCAACTTTTGGAAATGTGCAACATAGATGAATCTCAGATCTATAAGAGAAGGCAAGTGATGCTAGAACAAAGGGATATACCACACACAGAAACATGAAAAATTTAAGGAAAGGAAACTAGTGGTTGCCTGGAATTTGTGGCCCATAATCAAACATACAAGACACAAGAGAACATTCAAGTGATATAAATATCACACAGATCTTGATACAATTTGGCTAATATCATTTTATCAACTTCTTCAAACTCAACAAACTGTACATTGACAATGCTGGTCTCAGAATACAGTTTAGGCAGTTTTTTGAAAATATTTTTTGAATGAACTGGGGAGATGGCTCAGTGGATAAAGTACTTGCTGCACAAGTATGAGAAGCTGAGCTTGGATCCTGAGCACCCATGTAAAAAGTCAGGTGTGGTTGTGCACGCCTATGATCCTGCCCTGAAAGGCAGAGACTACTACAGGATTCCAAGGGCTTGCCCAGCCAGCTAGTCAGCCAAGCCAAATCAGGATTCAGTCAGAGACTCTGTCTCAAAGGCTATGGGAGGGTGCCAGTGAGGACAGGGATATAAAGATGATAAAGATTGAGACATTCTTATAAAATACACACAAATTCAATAAAAAAATAAAAATAAGGTAGAGAATAGTGGAAGACACCCGACGTGAGCTCTTACCGCTGCACACACAAGTGTACACAATACATAGAAAAAAAATCCTTTTGTTTAAAATGACAAAATCAGGGCTGAAGGGATGGCTCAGTGGTTAAGAACACTGGTTGTTGCTGCAGAAGATTTGGGTTCAAATCCCAGCACCCACATGGCAGCTAACAACAATCTATAACTCCAGTCCCAGGGGATCTGAAAGCCTCTTCTGACCTTTGGGGGCATTGCACAACATGGGTGCACTTACCTATATGCAGGCAATACACACATACACGACATAAAAATTAAAAAAATTTAAAAAAATAAATAAAAAGACAAAATGAAATTATGATGGAAATAGTATGAACCACAAAGACAGTATTACATAAACTCAAAACAAAGTCTAATAAAATAATTTACTAATAAAAATTTAAGAGGGCTTGATAATCCAAAGTCTCCCAAGTATTGTTTTCTTTTTTCTTTTGCTCTAGAAAAGAAATCACATGAAATCTAGAATGGAGATCACCAGAATAACTAAAACCAGTGCTATAAAACAAATGTTCTTCTGCTAGAAACACATACACTTAATTATGCAGAATAACTCACCTACAAGAATAAGCCACCAAATCTCATTTTCACTAACAGCTGAAAATAAATACAAAGGGGTATTCATGGAAACCAAAACTGCTTTCTCATTCATTCCTTCAGCTTCTGGGAGACGCTGTCCTACCTTACAAGAGAATCACTGCGCTTATCTGCCCTGACGAGGAGGACGACTTTCCATCTGTGGAAGGCTCCTGGAGCACCAGTACGTTTCAGTTCTTCACGCCATCTTTTAGGTGCAGATTGCATTTGAGGTGAATAATGGGAGTCTTTTTCAATTTTATATCCCCATTCATAAGTTGTTTCATCAAGCCATCTGCCACTTTTGGCACTATGAATTATGTAGTCCTTAGTTAGTACCCATTTTCCTAGAAAGAAAATGAACTGTCCGTCACAAAAGAATTTTGGTTCTGATAAACGGTAAACAATAAGGATCAAATATCGACTGAAAGTTATCCTTTTTCTACATACACTGGCAATATACACATACAGATGCTACATATACTATGTTATCTTAGAAGTACATTTTCCAGAGGCCCTTAACATCACTGAACACTGTACATAAACTTTTCTATACGATATATCTCAAATTCTAAATGCTACTAAATGAAATTAAAAAAAATCTATATCTTTAAAATAAAATGCAGTATTACATGAATTATTTTGGTAATATTATTTACTTTTCTGGGTTAGGTTTATATCCTCTCCTACATTAACACTTTTTAAGTAATGTTCACGACACTGTAGAAGTAGGAGAAATTTTTAGGAAACACATCTTCTGTAGTTTCTCTGGGCATCAATGATCTTTTAAACAGCAGGGACAATGTATGGTTTTGTTTGAAGAGGTAATGATGAATAGAAATGTCTCCAGTAAGTAAACCTCAAAATACAGCATGTCAACTAGTCAATCACCTTAGATGAAAATTGTAGGGTATCAGTAGTGAAAAAGGTGAGATGAGACGAAGTCCCAATTGGGGTGAAAGAATTTATACCTCTGAAAAGTAAAACGGATGACTATCACTTCATTAAAATAGAGAAAAGCAGCAAAGGAGAACAGAAGCATATGACTACGTGCAGTGACACATAATGAAAAGGAACCAGACTTTAGAGCTAAGGCTTCCACTAAATGTTTTAAGTTTCTGGCAGTTTTGTACCAATCTTTTGGTTAACACATATATCCTAAACACTTAACTTAAATCTTTGGAGAAGTAAAAATTTCTCCCTATTTAATATGTTGTTCATATGTTAAAGTTTTTAATTAGAATAAAGCAAAAATGAAACAATGTTTTTAAAAAAATCAGAAAAAGCTGATACATTTATACCTTATACAATAAAAAAGCATTTTTCTAAAGACTAAGGTATTTTAACTATAATGAAGTTTTTTTTCCCTCAGGGATTGGAAAAAAGGGAATTCACTTACCTGCTGCACAAGCTGCTAAAAATTTCTCACTCTTACACAGGCGTTCAGCTATAAGATGGGTACAATTTTTATATTTCTGGAGAGGAAAAACCCACAAGAAGAAATGTTACCAAAGTGAGATTTTTCTTAGTAACACAATCTTTTAGTTTTACACTCTCAAAGGGCATTTTATTATTCTTTATTCAGTGTTCTATTTTCCAACTATATGTTGAACGTTTAATAGGTTCCTAATACTCACCTCACTCTTAATAAAAGTGCAATCTAGTTTTAAAAGTAATTTGCCTAGAGCTTCCTTTTCCTCCATCTTAAATCCTGTCATTTGGATGATGTGTTTTGTGGCACCATCTTCCATCTAACACATACACACATACAGAAGATAACAGATGTTAAACATATTATGCACAGGGTTGATTTATTTTTTCTTAATTATGAATACTAAAATAGAAACTAAAACCATGAAACATATTATGAATTAAACATGTAAAACATAACTGGAAATACCAATGTTAATTTTAGTTAATACAATAGAAACCAATTTAAAGGTTATCCTCTCAAATTGTAACTTTTAAAGTGAAATTTGGGGAGGGGGTGGGTGTTGGACATTCTAATCCTGCTGTGTATTGTCACTAAAACACACTGTGGAATATAAGTTGTCTACAGAAATAGCAGTAGTCTATATAAATATGAGCACAATATTAACTTAATATTTTTAGTACTATTTTTGGCTCAAAGCTTTTCAAACAAGTACACTTATGGACAATGAAACGATCAAACATTATGGTGATTTTAAAAAATATATGTGGACAGATATTAATCTGATTGTTGACAGAATCCATGGTACCAGCATTTATAATTTAAAAAGACAGACACACAGGAACCTGGCTTCTACTCTCAATCTATACTTTATTCCTTTCCCTCCCTTCATCCTCCCCTCCTTCTTCTCTTCCTCCCTTCATATCTGTATCAATTTCATTACTTACAAGGTAAATTGAAAAATCACATGGTTGTTTATCTAAGCCCCGCCCCCACACACACCCAAACTGGAACCTTAATTCATATGAAATGTAGCTGACAAATACTTTAAGGTTGTATGTAATTCATAGAATTTCTCATAGAAGACACTTTTGTTAGTTCAAATGAGAACTGTGGATAGCATCTTGAGAAAATTCGATTTCTCATTAAAGATAAGGAAAGCACAGATGAGAGAAATCCTTTTGCTTCTTTGATAATTTTGCTTCTTTAATAATTTTGTCACAGCATCTGCAGAATATGATATAATTACAGGCAGGGCAATGGCAGTTGCTATTTCAACATTCAAAAAGCAATGGCTTCTTCTGAGAGAATAAAAGTAATTTTCAGGGTCTGGGCATGTAGCGCAGCGGTAGGTATGCTGAACATGAATAAAGCTCTGGATTCAAAGTACAACACCAAAACCCCCTAACTCCACCTAAACCAAAAAACTTCAAAAGTGTAGCTATTTGAGTTAAGGATTAAAATCATGTAATAAATGAAAAATGTCTTTTGGGGGCTGGAGAGATGGGTCAGTGGTTAAGAGCACTGGCTCCTCTTGCAGAGGACCCTGGTTTGGCTCCCAGCACCGATACGGAGGCTAACAACCATCTGTACCTCCAGTTCCAGGGGGTCCAACACCCTCTTCTGGCCTCAGTGGACACTGCTCACACATAGTGCACTTAACATGCATACAAGCAAAACACTCATACACATAAAAGAAAAAGAAAAAGAATATCTTTTTGTAGAAATTTTATTTTCAAAGACTAAAATATATAGAGGCAGTGGCCTTACATATCCATAGGCTTGACAGCCATACATTAAACATGTAAATCTTAAAAAATAAAAACAAAACCAAATTTGTACTAGCATGTAAATACTTTTTTCTTCTCAGTATAGAATAACTATGTAACATTTACATTGTGTTAGGTATTTTAAGTTATCTAGAGATATGTGAAGTGTACAGGAGGATATTTGATTTGGACATGGAAATTTTGGTACCTGTAGGAGTCCTGGAAACAAACCTCTATAAATACCTAGGAATAACTAAGTATGCATATACATAGACACTTATTTAAAGTTCAAGATTCATTCTGTAGTAAGATTTGTGAGACAGATTCACTATTAGTGAAAACGTTACCCAGGGTTACAAATGAACCGTCTCATGTGCTTAAAGCTCCTAAGAGGAGAAGCTTCAGCTAGCACAGAGCACATGCAATTTTTCCTACTGTTCTTCATTGTGCTTCCTTTAAAAGGAGAAGCTCCTTGAGAGACCTAAGTGTTCTGCCTTGCTCAGCACATCTGAATATTTGCAAAGAGGGTTCACATCAATGCTTTCTGACACATCTGCTGGTAGCAGTCCTGCACTGTCTGGGTGGGCAGATCGATTCACAGGTTAGATAGTAAAAAGCACACTAGATTTACACATCAAAGTTATCTCCTTCAAATCAATTTTTATTCAGTAAAAGAAGCTGATATTTTGACTTTAATATATCTGACTTCAGTATTTTCCAACTGGCTCCCAAAGAGCTTGTAAAGAGTATAATGAATCAATCCTATAAAATCCTAATACTCAGATATAGAACATGAAGTATCTTTGTGAGTGAGACTCTTCAAATGAAATAAATGCGTAAGTTACAAGGTTTTGGTCTGGCTAGCACAAAATTATAAAATGCACACAATAAAGCTTGGTATCTCATGAACGAATTAACCATGCCTATAAAATATTACCATCATTAAATAAAATACAAGTATTTCCTTGAATATAGATCTTTTTACTATATTAATATTAAAACCATTTTCATGGGTTAAATAACAGCTTTTGAGTGAGAACACCTAATAAAACAGACTGATAATATATAGGAACTTTACAAGTAATATACTGGATTGCAAGAAAATAATAATAAACATAATGATTTCCAAAACATATAAACCTATACAGTAAAGCCACATTTAGATTATACAGCATACATCTCTAACTAGGGAGAAAGCAGCTTTCACTAATTGAGGACAACTCTTTAAATACGTCATTTAATAATTTTCTTTTAGAAAATGATAGGTCTTTTCTGAAATTCTCAAGTAAAATTCAACATATCTGTAAATAACATCTTGGCATTTAATCACCATGCATAGATCTCAAATGCTAGTTACCGAAGGAAACAAGGGTTTTGAACATAGTAATATATTTAAGAGTGTTCAAGGGAAGTGGTTTTTAGAACTTAAACTCTTACCCATCTGGCTATTCTAAAGTATCCATACATTAAAAACTACTACTAAGACCTGGAGAGATGGCTCAGTGGTTAAAACTACTGGCAGCTCTTGCAGAGGACCCAGGTTCAGTTCCCAGCACCCATAAGACAGCTGACAACCATCTGTAACTCCAGTTCCTGGGGATCTGATGTCTTCCTCTAGCCTCTGCAGACAATGTATGACACAGGTACACTTACATTCATACAGGCATAACAGTCAGACACATAAAAATAAAAATCTTAAGAATTCTATAAAAAAAACTAGTACTAAATAATTGGAATAGGGATTAGGATGTAGTTTAGTGGCAGAATGCTTGCCTAACAAGGAGATACTTGGCCAATCCCTGGCCCCCTGATCATCAAAATAATCAAAACATAAACAAACAAACAAAAAAAAGCCAAAACAAAAAACTGAAATTGCCTGCTGTAACACTATCACCAATAAATTATATTTAAAGATTTTATTTTCCTTTCGGAAAATTAATGTTCTATAGATATATAAGAATCTGTCATAGTATGTTTCTTTGATACCAATAATGGCTATTTTACAATGTAAATTAAATGACAACATTTTGCTTTGAGATATAAAACATTAAATTATTTGAATTTACTACATAAAGCAATGTTTCCATCTTAAAGACTATCTTTATAATAACAGATGATGGAATATATATTTAGCAGCATTTTCTGTTAGAACAATGTCTCACTGTAAGTAAAAACAGAATTGACAACATACAAAAGCAGAAATCACAAAAGCCTTTTAAATTTCCTTTCTTTGAAAATCATTAATACGAAACTGAAACTATCATGTAAAAGGAAGAGGAGGAAACAAAGGTGATAGGCAGAATATCCTGACACAAACATTATGAAAATATACATGTCTAAAACCAAGTCATAATGTAAGACATTTATTCACAAGTTCATCAAGTAAAAAATGGGGGGTGGGGGGGTAGACCATTAGTTAATGTTCACAGAACTGTGAATCCTGGACATGCACAAAACAACTAGCAATTTTTAAAAAGCAAAATCTAATCTAATTGTTCATATTCTGTAATAAAATTATCCATTTGAAGCAAAAGTTTACAATATATATGTAGCAATGCTTTTAAAGCACCATATTGTATGACAAACTAATGACCCATATCAAATTTAAAATGGATGGTTGCATGAGGACAATTGACATATACAGCAATATATACATTATGGATATATTTATAAAATGAGTGGCTTGATAGTTCTTCCCTATCCTGAAAGATTAAAAAAAAACAAATAATGGTTTGATATGCCAATGAATTAGAAAAGAACAACATAGAAATTTCCTTAATGCCTATCAATAAGCTGGACAATTATAAGTACGGTCAAATTTTATGTAGGTGATATGTTCTGAGGTAAGTAGAATGAGAGCTAACATCTAGACATCTTATAGTACAAGGAAAAACAACAAATATTCCATAATGCAGTTAATCATACCAATGATATTTCTAAAATAATTACATTTTTTCTAGAACATTTATGGAGGGGTGTGATCTTTGAAGCATCAACACAGGTGACAACAAAATGGAAGGGGTGTTTATTTTTAATAGCTAAATGTTTTCTATCTTGATAGTAAACAATATTATACATTATAATACATTCTTAGTTATTAAAAAACCTTCTGGCTGGAGAGATGGCTCAGCTGTTAAGAGCACTGACTGCTCTTGTAGAGGACCCGGGTTTGATTCCCAGCACCCACATGGTGGCTATGAACCATCCTTAACTCCAGTTCCAGGGGAATCTGAAGCCCTCTTCTGACCTCTTCAGCATTGCACAACATGGGTGTACTCATATACATACAGGCAATACATTCATACACATAAAAAAAAAAAAGAAAACCTTCCTATAGTATTTTTAAACTTTATAATAATCTTTTAAAAATTTACTTACCTTGAATCATTAAAAAAACACAACGAAGGAGAGTGATTGTAAACACAGCTCGCTTTTACACATAGCAAGCAACTGTCTCTGTGGTGTGGACTTTCCTAAAATATCTCCCACAAGGGCCTATCCTTGATGCCTGAAATTCCTTTGCACTTAGCTCCAGTCAGAAACACCAGTAAACCTATATTTCTCATCATGGTAATTGTGAATATTTTATTATAGACTTTTTTTCAGATCCTTTGAATTCTTTACAATACAGTGCTGAATCATGCTTGAAGAACACTGCTAGAATATGTTAAACCTAGGAGAGTCGAGACAAGGGTATCTGTAAGAACACAAAGGCAGAAGCTGAGGAAGGACACAGGAGAGTCAGAATCCAACATGGGCTTACAGAGCAAGACCCTGTGAGGCATAGCAGGAAGGTGGGGTAGGAGGGGTAGACAAGAGTATCAGCATTTGGAAGGCAGGACGGAGAAGCAGGCTAAAAGAGTGGCAAAAAAGAAATGCTGCAGAAAAGAGAAGCAAGGTGCCTAAGGAAGTCTTTGCAGGAAAGTAAGGAGAAGTTTCTTATTCTGCACTAGAATTTCTTTTACAACCAGCCATATATATGTATTTAAGAACTTTTTTTGGCAGCGTGCTACTATGTGGCCCTGAGTAGTCTGGAACTTGCTATGTAGACCAGGTTGGCCTCAGATTTGCCTGCCTCTGCCTTTGGAGTACTGAGATTAAAAGTGTCACTCACCTGGCAAGAACTACATTTTTACTTCTAAAATAATCTTTACTGATTTTTTTTGTCTTTTAGTTTCTTAAAATTATTTATTTATTTTTATATGTGTTTGAATTGCTGGTATGTTCATTGGTGTGTATGTAGTGCTGAGAAGGCCAGGAGAGGATGAGAGCTGCATGTGGGTACTGGGAGTCAAACCCAGGTCTTCTGGAAGAACAGCAAGCGCTCTTATCCCCTGAGCTACCTCTCCAGTCCCATTTTCAAAATTTTTCATCAACATATGATTATGGAAAATTTCAAAAGTATTACAAAGAATACAGAATGAATAAATAAAATCATCTCCAATTTCTTCGCCTTGTAATACTACTCCATCAGTTTTATGTGTACATTAAAATTAAGCACATGACAAAATTTAGGTATGTACATAATTTTTATAGTTATTTTTTCATGCTAATATTTCATGGTTTTTAACCCGCATAATGAAAACTGGTGGTCTCTTCATTTTCATTATACTATGAAACTATTTTGATTTGCAACCTCCTTTTACAGCAAATTAAGGTTAATATTCATTTGAAATTCCCTTCTGCAAAGTATAAAAAAGTCTTCAGTACAATTAAATAGAAAATTTAATTAAAATGAAACTAAATCCTGGCCCCTCTTAGCATAGGAGAGAAACAGGCCCTTGGCTTAATGTCATTCAGCTGGCCTATGGAATTTGTTTTAAAAGATGTCATGTTACAACCAAGAAGATGGCTCAGCAAGTTAAGGCATTTGCCACCTAGGTTGATAACCTGCGTTCAATCCTGAGACCCACATGGTGAAAGGAGGAAAATCAATTCCTATAAGCTGTCCCTCTGACCTTCACACTCATACTCTGTGGGGTATTAACAAAACAAAACAAAACGAAAAAAGAAGCCATCTTATTTCCTGCTCCATCTTTCAATTATGCAAATATATTAATTATTTAATGGTTGGAGATGTAGCTCAATGGTAGAGTATCTACCTAGCAGTGCAATACCCTAGGTTCAATGTACAGAACCACACAACAAAGGAAAAGAAAAACTAGAGGTTTCCAGTGATGAGACTTCAAACATGTTCTTGCCTCAATGACATTATTTGGAAAAGGAATAGTAATTGGTCCTTTTGATGGTGAATTTTAGATTATAGAGAAGAAATGAAGAATGGCTGGGGTGAGGGGAAAAATGAGAGGCTGAAGAAAGGTGGGGATATCCCATCATCCAATACTGCCCATGGTACAGGCTGGGCTAGTTTAGGGTTAAAAGGGCTCCTTAGGAATCAAAGTAATCAAAGACAAGGTTCAAGGGATAAACACTAACTTATTTTGGTATACTGGGAGGTTTGTTTGGATTATTCTGTTATGAAGGGCACAAATCTAAGATTTTAGATTTTAAGTCTTATGGTGGTCTACACACTTCATATGTTAGTTCATTTTCCTCTTCATACCATAAGTACCATTTATCTACATACAGATGAGAACACAGGGTACTAATGAGAACACCAGGGATCATGACTAATTTAGAAACTAGCCAACTACTCTAATTCAGAGTAGAGAGGATGTACTCAGCAGGAGTTAGGTGCTGAGTTCAATCTCCAGCAGGGGGGAAGGAACAAAAACAAAAACAACTGCCTTAAGGGTTCATAACTCTATAAAAACAGTAAAACTAAAAATCAAGGATAAGCTTGTTTCTGTGAAAAGGATATGCTGTCTTTACAATACCAACTTGGCTTATTTGCAGATTGTCTACTTCTCTAAAACACACTTTAATTTTCAAAGCCAACTATTTTCAGCTAGTACAGTAGAAAGAACAACTGCATGAAAAACAATCTACTACATAGGTTAAGAAGACATTTAGAGCAGCAAAACAATTATTATTATTTTTATTTTTTATTTTCTGGTCTTTGTGAGACAGGGTCTCCCTGTAGCCCCAGCTGTCCTGGAACTCACTACGTAGACCAGGCTGGCCTTGAACTCACATGAGATCCACCTGCTTCTGCCTCTGAGTGCTGGGATTAAAGGCGTGCGCCACCACGCCTGGAACAAAACAATTATTTAATAAACAACTATGAATTTTTTTCAGAAAAAATAATACAAATGTCTAAAATACCTACACGGTTCTAGGAACAATCTAAAAAGTACCATTATCTTCATTATCTTTTCTTTTGGTAAAGCACAAAGTTTCTATTATATCCTTCTCAAAACAAATTTGAAATCAATCACTGGAGTTATTCACACAGGTTTTCTTACCAAAAACTAACAGCAAACAGCCAGTAATATTCCTAGAGTCAATTATAAAAGTAACAGTTAATGACTTTTGCTTTGATTTTTTTGGGGGGGGGTTCCTGTTTTGTTTATTTTTTTTTACTTTTGAGACAGGGGTTTTCCTGTAGCCCCAGCTGGCCTAGAACTTGCTATCTAGCCCAAGCTGGTGGACCACAGAGATCTATCTGCCTGTCTCTGCCTCCAATGTGCTGGGAATAAAGGCCTATGCCACCATATATAGTTGACTTTATTTTTCAAATATTTTTATACAGTAGAAAGACTTGTAGAATAACATAGTGAAGATACATATAATAATGATAACACTGCCTAATTAGTAAAACTGTACTACTAGTTTCCTAAAAACCAAAGTCTTGACTCATCAGTCAAAACTGAAGATGCATGGCATGAAATCTTAGGCATTTTGTTTTTAATTTTGATGGAAAGAAGTAATTACATTTGACCATTATTTCACTGACTAACAAGATCTCTGCTTTCGGCCTTATGAAAGCAAGAAAATTCTAGATCACATAATTAAACTTCCCTTACATCAATGAAGCATAACCAATATCTGGATTTAAAAAACAGGTCTAGGAGAAGTTTACTTACTTATTGAAGACCAATTGTTTTTACAATAAAATGTACTTAAACATTCAAGCGTTTCAATATCTTAAGTCATAAAAGTTAAGAAAATTCTTAGTGCTAACTTACAAATAATCAAATTTCCTCCCTTACACAAATCAATCCCAAATGATCAGCTTATGTACTGACCACCTATAATAATGCTACACAAACTTTCCATTAACAGGAATATCTTTTAAAACAACATAGAAATTGAGTCACAACAGAGTAACATGAACCAAAAAAGTCCATATGATGTAGTGGCTGTCATATGTATACTATAGAGTCAGTTCATTCCCAGTGTCTCTAAATTTTTTTTTTTCTTTTTTTCTGTAGCGGAGAGTCATTTGTCATAAAAGAGCTTGGGGACTTCAAAATCAAGTTGCATCTATCTCAAGGCCCACATACTGACTTTGAGTATTAAGGCAAATCAGTTTTTCTTAATATTTAATCAGAGGCCTTGAAAGTGGAAGAACTCTCCAGATAAGCTTGTCCCTGTACTCAGGAAGCTGATAATCCCCAAGAACACAGACCCTGCCTTCGGGTAACGTGTACGTGGGTAATGTTTGTTTAAAGGCCTAAGTAGTCGCAGAGTCGCCCATTGCCATTTCCGTGTTAAAAACAAAACAAAACAAAGCATAATTCTATTTGGGAGGGAAAAAAAAAACCCATAATTTTCCTGATTTCACGAAGGTAGGCCCGGGGATTCCCTGCCACCAACACTGACGCTGTTCTGGACAGCAGCCAACTGGGCTGAGGGGAGGCGTCCCATCCGGTTCTATGGAAACGCGGGACGCCGGCGGCCTAGCGCGATCCCTGCGGGGCCCGGCGCCGGGGTGGTAGCTGAGTGCGCCCTGCGGACGGGCGCCGGGGGCCAGGCCGAGCTGGCGGAGGTTTGCGGCCGCCGCCACCAGCTCAGGCGCCCGCAGCGAGTCGACTGGGAACGAACCACGGCTGTGGACAGAGCGGGCGCCAAGCGCCGCCGCCCGGCCCGGCCCAACTGGCACGGGGGGAGCTTCGCAGGGCGCGGTTTGGGGACGGGGAAAACGGCGTCTTCAGAGCTGAGGCTCTTTACCTTCCCGGCCGGCCGGAGGGTCTAGCTGCTTTGTTCGGGGGAACGACGGCGGCGGCGGCGGCGGCGGTAGGAACGACGACTACCAATACTCTTGCTGTTCCACTAATCCGGGCTTGGGAAATTATTTCCCGCCGCGCGCTCCGACGCCCCGGAAACAGTTTACCACTTCCGGGTGGTTGTCAGTGACGCTCACGAGCCGTCGCCAGGGTGGTTTGGGCTGGTGGAGCACTTGACTCTGCCCCCATTTCAGGCTCCTAAGAGATCCGCGTCGGAGGCGGAGACTGGTAAGTGGCTTTTCTGGCGCTTCAGGCCAACTGGGCTAACTCCAGCTCCTTGGCCGGACCTAGAAGTGAGCGGGGAATGTTGAACCAGAAGACGTCCGCGGGGCGCTTGACCCTACTTGGGTCTGGAGAAGGCCTGGGACCCTGGCTTACTGTCTTCTTAACTCGCAGTATCTGTCTCCAACTTGGAGCTCGACCTTGAGTTTCCTAGCGCCCCTGGGCGAGACCACAGACAACTGGGTTCATGCCAAGGGTCACTGTTCCTACTATCTCCTATTTGCAGGCTTTCATCACCCTGGTTTCCTGAAAACCGCTTTACTGTTTCCTTACTTTGGAGGTGCTGTGCCTGGGAAGCTCACAGACAGCTGAAGACACCCTTTACAAACATTTAGAAAGTGGGGTGTGGAACCCCACTTGAACTTTTCTCCTTCAGTATTAATTGGGTGAGGAATGGCCTATGTTTTCCTGGTGGCTGTGAACTAACGACATATGTTATTGGGCTTATAATTCCATGCATCGGCTTTAGACGCACATTTTAGCTTCTGGAACCCAGTGATCAGGAATCAGGTGTACTTTCAGAAACGCATGCTCTGGCTTTGCTCCAAGCTCTCTCAATAATGAGAAATTTAGGAGAATTTTAGTTGGAAGTCTGGGGTAACCAGAATAGTTGTGAAGAGAATTGCTTCTGACAGAGATCTAGAATGAGGAAAGATGCTCCTTTATCCAAAGACCCTCAGAGGTGCATGAGGTGAACCTTGGAGTTTTGCGCTTTCTTGACTAATGCAGTTTCTGAAGATAAGTAGTTTTCACTCTCCATCTTATAATTCAGTAACCACTTTTACCCCCCTTTTTTTGTTGTTGCTTTTTTTGTTCCCCCACCAAAGGTATCCATTCCCAAAAGATGTCTATGAAAACCTACCATGTTCAAATCAAGGACCCTGAAACTACAGACAACTGCCATTTTGCTTTTGGGAGTAAAGCAACATATTTCAGACGGCATATTGACCTTTTTAGCCTCCTGTTTGGTTAATAATTCATCAAAATTTTGTAATTTTCCCATTGAACAAAATATTGTATTTATATACATTTCCCCCTTATTTCTCAAAATGATCAGATATAAATTCTTTCAAAGAGACTATATGTTATTTCCACATACCAACTTGTTTTTTAAATCATTGCTCTTGGTTTATGATTCATATTAACAAAGCAAATCATAAATACCATGACTATTTACTGTCTGCCAGGTACTTTACATATTACTTAATACTTATTTTTTAAATCCTATCTGTTTTGAATGCTTTTTTAATTACAACACAGAAATTGTGACTTCCTATACATACAATTTTCACAATGGAGATTTGACTCCAGTCTACCTATATTCAGACTTTAGCTCTTTATTGTCTTCAGTACTTTCTAGTATAAATAAACGTAATAGCCTGGCAAGGTGCTATATGCCTGTAATTTCAGTATTTCAGAGGTCGGGGCAGGAGAATTAGGAGTTAAAGGTCAAACTGTGCTAGATCCTAGACATCAAGTACAGTCTGAGCTAAAAGGGACCTTGTCTCCAAAAACAAACAGGGGCAGGAGAGATGGCTCAGTGGTTACAAGTACTTGCTGCTTTTATAGAGGACCTGAGTTGAGTTCCCAGCATTCACATTAGGCAGGTGACACTACCTGTAACTGCACCTCCAGGGAATCTGATATCCTCTTCTGGCTTCTGCAGTTACCCACACTCAGGTACACAGATACATGCATACACATAAATAAAAATAAAATAAATTTTTAAAAAATCAGCTGAATCATTCTTTTAGTGTTATGTAAAATTGGATAGATAATACATTGCGTTAAAAGCCAATATATATATGGAAAATAAAGTGATTTAAGGACTGTGTTCATTTGCATAGGTAATTTTCACATGTGAATTACATTTCTCATAAATGGTCAGTTTTATCATTCTAACCCAAGTAAATACCCATACTCTACATGGTATAGTAGATAAATGCGGTTACTTAGGTCAAAAGCAAGAGATGTAGAGACCAGTAGCATATTACTGACTCTTAAGTCCAGAGTGTCAGCTAACATTAAAGGCAGCTATTAAGTCACACATCTATATCTGTTTGTGTGTGTGTGTGTGTGTGTGTGTGTGTGTGTGTGGGTGGGTGTAGAATGAATGGATAAGAACAAGCACATAAAATTTGAATTTTGTAACAGTTTTCTAAGGAATTGTTATTTTTTACTAGTTATTACCAAAACAACTATTTTATTCTAGGACTCTTAGATGGAGGATAATTCCTATGCATATACTTTAAGAGAGTGTGCTTAATTAAACCTGCCTGTTCCAGTATTTTATTTACATAGAGAACTAGAAAAAGTCAAACATTCAAGAATTCACTAAAATCTAGTTGAACTGACAATAATGAAAATGACACAGAAGTTGATTCTAAAGAATATCTTGTTTTACACAAGACTAAGCTCTATGTATAAAACTAATCTCAAATACTGATGTATATTAAATTACCTTTCACTAACTTAACTATCTGAGATATATTTGCTTCTGTGTATCACATAAAATATAAGAGATATTTTTCTTTTTGTCACATTTCAATAATTATGAAGGTTCAGACGGTATCTGTTTTGATCATCATCTCAAGCTTGGTCACAGGAGCAAAATGTTATCATTTGACTCTGAAGTGTCCCAGGACAGACTCATATGTTGAACACTTGGTACCCAGCTGTTGGAACCATTTGGGAGGTGGTAGAAACTGTAGAAAGTCAGGCCTAGTTAAAGGGTGAAGAATCTTTGAAGTTCGATGTGCAATAGTTGTAATAAACTTACAACCATTGCTGACTGAAAAATGTGATAGCAAATGATAGCAAAGGAATTTTGCTTCCTGGAGGACAAAGACTTGATGAAGAAGATAAGGGAGAGCTTGGGCCTGGTGAGGGTTTTTGCAAGGGGACCATAGGGAGGAATGTCCTATTGGGAGAAAAGAGAACAGTGACTAAGTCATTTGGATGCATGGAATAGTGAAAGTTAACAACAGAACTAAGGTAAAAGTAGAGGTTAGGACAGGCTGCAGACAATAATGTGGGTGTGTAAAGATGTATGCTTTTTAATAATCAGTGGTTTATGTGTATGACCACAATCTGTAAAGAGTTGAACTGGCAGTTATTTTCTTTTTAATTTTTTTTGAACTTTATTTCTTACAAGAATATTTGTATATACAAGTGAATCTGAAACAAAGAAATTAAAAATTGCTCAAAATATAATTCCATACATCAGAGATACCTAAGTATCATGTTTCTCATGTTTCTCCAGATAAGTCTGGATCTATGTATATGTGTCTTTCACATAAAAGAATTTAATATTCTACATTTTAGCTTGTGACCTCCTTTTTTATGCTTTGAAGAATTATTTTTTTAATCATTTAAAAAATTTTTAATAACTACATAATTAGAAGAAAAATTTCACTACACCTTTAACATATTCAGTAACATACTCCAGAGCAAGAGTACACATGTCTTTCATAAGTCGGTGCAAGTTTCTAGGTTCACAGTTGAGTTACTACAGTTATACAATATTGAACTCAATTTAAGCCCTGTAAGACATAGAATTGAATGAGTTTTTAACCTTTAAAAAAAGATCTCCATTTCATTTTAGAACAAAGACTCATTGTTTTTGCTACTCAAACTGAGATGTTGATGCATGCATCTCTAATCTGTATGTTTCTGATTATTACTAGGCATAATCGGTTGCACTTGGATCCTTGGCACATCTGTATGTCTATAAAGTCATTGGGTAGATTACAGTGGTAATGTTTATCACCTCTACTAATTAGCATGACATAAATTTCCAGGCTTCCTCCTCAAATATAATACATTTTAAAAATTTGTTGATTTTGTGTGTGTGTGTGTGTGCATATATCACACAGAACATCCCAAACCATCTTATTCAACAATACACTCACTTCCCTAATGGCACCCTCCCATAGCCTCCATCCCCCCACTAGAGCCCTTATACTCTGATAGCCCTGCTACTGTCTGCTGTGTTGTCAGCACCCCAGCCATTCCCCACTACTTGTCCTTCTGGAGAATCTAGTCAGCCTATCTCTAGGTCTTTGTTTTAGGAGGGTCAGCTGTTCCTCATCTAGCAGCAGTTGTCAATATTCCTTTAGATAAGATTGGGGTCTACTGTTCATTTTCCCAGTTCTATGCTGGGTTACTATCTGGGAGTCCCTTGGGCTACCCTGGCCAACAACTCAAAAGAAGGTATCTCCTATCTGGCATTATTGCTTTTTATGTAGCTTTTAGCTATGCATATGGACTATTAAGAAATTATATTGTCCCCTTTAATCTTTGGTTATACTTTCCTTTTCGGTGTTTAAGGCCATACAGTTGACCCAGATAAACCAATTTATTTTTACTCTTAAGGTCATTTGAAGATCTGTTCCTCAGGGGTCACATGGGCTTGGGAGGAGCCCCTGGCTCCTTCCTTTTACCAGTTCTGCCTATGTGAAGATAAGTCAAAGGTCCTGCTCAACCATGGTTGGCTTCTCTTTGGAGACTGTCGGAAATGATTCTTCTGTGTTGACCCTCCTCTTTGTAGACTGGACACTGGTTCAAGTCCATCTGGTGGGGTCTCCTTGGCGTCCTTGATCAAGCAGACAGGTGACCCACCACAATTACAGGACTTTTTGAGAGATGCTCTAAGTCCCCTGGAACTATTTGACCTAGGAGGGCAAGGAGCAAAAACTGTCCTTTATGTCCCTCTGACCAAATTAGTATAGTCTTCAAAGTGTGTCTGTTAAACACCCAAGAAGGTTAGTTCCACCATCTGGTACTTTTAATTACTGTGTCATATAGATAAATATTGGGAAAAACCAATTGTTCTCAGATAAACCTTACCTAGACATATATTTATTGATCTGCTATGTATAATTTGTCAGTAGGTTGTAGGAGTAATATGGTTCCCTCTGTTTTTCAAAACTAGCTAGGCATTATTT